CCCGAATCCACTGTTCAACTGTCTCGCTGAGGTAAAAGTTTGGAGGGCTTCAAACTTTCTATATTTCAATGAGAAAAAAAATCTCATTAAGTTATTATTTTTGGTCCCAGTGGGAATCACAGCACTTCTGCAGATCTGAACAGCTTGGAGCGGTTTGTAAAATCTCTGGTAAAAAACTCAGGAGAGATTTGATATGACTTGAGAAACAGATTAATTCCATAGTCAATATATCCTTTTTAAAACTGAGGCTTAAAGCAAAATACATTTTATCCTTTAATAAATTTGACTACTTCTCAACCAGGTTAGTCTAACTTTCTGTATGTTGGTGTTAGTTAGACCGGACACTCAGAACCTGCAGCTCCTCTTTTAACACAAACATAAAAACATGAACACATTTCCTCTGTGCTGCTTCCTTCATTTGCTTCTGTTAGTTTTAGATTTGATTTAAATGTTTTATTGGATGACCTGTAAGGTCCTGAATGGAGAGGYTCCTGTAGACCTGTCAGACCAACTGCAGCCTTATGCCCTACAGATGCTTTAGATCTAATGATCATGTGGTTTTAGTTCTGAGGTCCAGGTGATCAGGTCTTTAGTTGTCCTGAGTTCCAGGCTGGTCTACAAATGTAAGCCCATTTTCAGTTGTTCCAAGGTCCAATCTGGTCCACAAAGGTGATCTGGCTTTTAGTTGTCCCGAGATTCAGGCTGATAACGAAGGTCTAGGCTCAGTAGAATACTACTAAAAATCCTCAGGGTCAAGATCATGAGTCAGTAAAGGAGCTGCAGTTTCTGATCCAGTGATTTGCCATGGCTCACTCCTGACAACCTAACTAAMCAAAATTTTATCAGATAAACTTGATATTTTTAAATGTTTCTAAATATATATTATTTGTGTTTTCTGTTCCTTCTGAACCCTGTTTAGGACCACAGCTGGTACCTAATGGTTGAGGTCACAGAACAGCTCAATCAAACCCTGGACCCTGTGAGGCAAGACACTGTACTGCCCTGCAACTCAACTTTAAAGTAAAATAAATAAATATAAAATAAAAAAATGAAGTCACAGAAAAAACTATTTCCATTGTTCCAAAGAAGAAAATCCCTCAAAGTTGCAAAAATGCTGCTGTATTGCTCCACAAATTATAATTAACAGGAAGTGTTAGGTGTATTTTTATATAGGTGTATATAGGCAGTGTTTGGTGTATTTACATCTGTTGGGACTCAGACATCTCCCTATTATTGATGGTACTTGGTAGATGAACTCCAAAAGCACTCTCTCCATTTTAGTCAGTCGTTTTAGATGAGCTAAGCACAGTCTGTTATATTTTGCCTTTATTTAGAATCTGATTCACAACAAAACACAACTGAACAGCAGCCTTGAAAATATTTGACTTTAAAAAAATATTTTGTATTACTTGGTCCAAGTTGTCCGCATTTTACTGTGGTTAAATATGAAGTTCACTAGGCCCCTAAAAGGGGGGGAAATGAAATCAGTTGCTGTGTAACTAACCCCATCAGTAGATTACAGCTGATGAAACTTGACTGCATGATAGTTGAAATTCTGCAAAATAACTAATTATATTTAGACGGGGGGAAAAAAAGCACGAGGTACATTCACAAATAAGTTTTATTTCAATATTTTTTTTATACATTATAACCATTTCCAACACATTTTATATTATAATAAAATGACTTTTTTTCCCGTCATTTACATAAAATCAGATTTTGTATATTAAGACTGCAAAATAGTACATGTAATTTTCGTTTATAGCTTTGTACACATACAAGTGACAATGCATCCATTTACTTTTTAAAGAATGCACATTTCGAGAGGGGGGGAGGGAGGGGGGATAATAAAGGGCAGCCATAAGCAGAGAGAATACAGGAGCTCTAGCAAGACGGCAGGCTAGCAGGAAACACCACCACCTTGTGACCAACACCGACCTGGGTTACATTCTTCACCTAAAGATTCTTTGTACCACTTGGAAGGTCTGATTGTTGCACTCCAAGTCTGTATTTTACTTTTTCTGCAGATTTTTTACCCCCCAGGGGGGAGGGGGGTTAGATCACAACAAAGAGTGGTTAACAGTATTTCAACCCAAGTCGTTTACAGGCAGGCCTCTAAGTTGGTTGTGTCCCAACAGAAAGCTGGGAGCGCTACGTGTAGCGGTGTGGTGAAAAACGTAACCAAATACAGATCAACGACGAAGTGAAAACAAGTCAAACCGATCAACACAACTGAAAATGCGTCAACATTGCAGAAATTTAGGATAAAAAAAAAAAGAAAAAGAAAACACCAGCTCATACCCGTCATGATTTTGGGAAATACACATACAGTATTAGAAAATTAAACCATGCTATAACATCCCATAAATACATCTTGGTTGTTTTTTTCCCCCTTAATGTCAATTATCATATAATCAGGCCTCCAATGTATATGCCTTCCTCTATGAGACATACAACACAGGATGTTGAAATGTTGAGAAAAAGAAAGAAAAGCAAGTCTCCACACAATTGTCATGACAGAAGATGAGAACATTCAAAAGTACACCGATATATACTGACCAAAAACCTAAAAAAAGACCAGCTATTGAAGCAATAAGTAGTCAGGAGTACCTTCTTTGGTTTGTGACTGTTCACAAAATAATTTACTGAGTGATCGCTCGTTTACCAACACAGGAGAATAACTTCACTCAGAAACATGATTATACCAGTGATGACACTGTCTGTCAAGAACGAACATGACTAAATTATCTTCATTTAAAATAGCTTCAATCACCTCCGATAGACAAATTTAGAGATTGCAGTTAGAAGATTTGGACTAGTTTATTCTCACTTTCAGTCAAATTTAAACAGCAGGTTGATAAAATACAACCCCACAGCCTCCATAAAAAAAGATTAATACAGAGTAATTAACAGTACAAAATAAGTTTGCCAATGCAAATTCTGATGACACAACGGCAGCCCTTCAGTGCTTTACATCCTCTACAGTAGAGTGTGAGCTGAGGCTGCTATCGACACTGTGGTGGTGAAGCTGTGGTTTTACAGTACAATAATGACTCGACGGGCCCTGCTGCTGGTGCTAACCGAGTAAACGAAGAGAAGATAAAACCCAAGAGCGAGAAGAAAAAAAAAGTGCCAGCATGCATTGTGGACCATGTACATGTGTGCACAGTATCTGTATGTGAATGAAGACCCAGTAGTGTGTCAGCAGGGGGCGGGGCCTCCATCACTCAGGGCCACGGGTGGGAGTGCTGGGCTGGTTCAGACCCATGGTTTTGCACAACCAGCCGGCAAAGTCTACTTCCTCCACCTCTGATCGCTTGATGAAAGTGTGACTCTGAAACCAAAATGGAAACTTCCGTTTGTAACAGTCGCCAGCACAGAAACAAATAATGTAGAAATCAATTCAGTCAAAAAAGGATTAAGTACTAACCATAAGCATCTTCAGATCTGCTCTCTCAGCTGGGTTTTTAATCAAGCTGCAGACACAAAACTTGTTAGTGATAGATCTTTAAATGTATTAATCAAAACAATGCATGTAAAAAGTAAGCATAAAATCCAAGTGTATTAAATTATTTAAAGTTTGGGTAACATCATGTGTAACCTTTGTAAGTGGAAATTTCAAACTTCTGTCTTGTAATAAGCAGATATGCATATTTAAAAACTCCTACAGTAATGCATCCGTTTTAACCACAAAGTATAAAAAGTCTTTCCAGTGTTTCCCCTTAGTGCACAAGGAGGGGTATCCACCCCTTTAACAGGACTAACTGCCCCACATAACAACCCCACCCTAAAGTCGAGGGGTCATAATTACGGGAGTATATTTTGACTGTTTTTTTCTCTTAATGTACTACTCCCAGGATAAGTTATTTTTGTTATTTGAGTGAGAGGTTTACAAAATTCAACTAATGCAAATTAAACTGCAGACTTTTCATGTTCTGTAAATTTTATTTTATTTTTTAAAGCTGCACTCTCTTTTAATAAATACAAATAATGCTTCTGCTGTTGATCATAAGGCCAATACTTTAGGGGAAAAAATACTCATTATTTGTTCAAGAGTCATTTCCACTGCTCACCATTTAGTCACAAAGTCTTGGAAGTCACTGGTGAAAACACCGTGTGGCAGTTTTGGGGGTGGCTGTGGGAGGAAAAAAAAGAGCATAGTTAAAACATGAGAAGTACAATAATYAAACCAGTTCAAACCAGTTCTTTTTCCAGACCTCATTGACAATGTAGTCCAACAGTTCAAAGATGGCCATGGCAGGTCTACTGTCCATCCCGTGTCCTGTGAAGAAGTTGCGTTAAGACTTTAATTGCAAATCTGTCCTTTTGAAATCTGTTTTTCGGTTTGACTCGTAGACGTTTGGAAATGTTGCTTACCGCTTACAGGCCTGCCTGGTGGTCTTGGCCTAGCCATGTTGGTGTGAGCCTCTCCCTCGGCCCCGTCCATTACGGCACGACCAAAGATGGCCTCTAGCTCTTTGGCGTCTGGCGGAGGGATGGGGTAGCGGCCGATCGCCAGCTCCACCAGGGACAGGCCCATGCTCCACACGTCAGACTGAACGGAGTAGTGAGTGCCCTGCAGTCTCTCCGGCTGTTGAGTAACACACAACTACGTCAGAGAGACCAGGTACAGCCAAGATACCAAGGAAAAGGGAGCGGGTTGGGCGAAGGGCCGGGGAGAGAAGGCACAGAAGGGAAAGGGAAGAGGGGTAGGGGTGTTATGGCAAGAAAAGAGACAATTCAAATGGGAGGGTGAGAGTGCTTAGGAGTTAAAATTAGCCAAAAGGAAAAGCACGAATACTACACCAACGACACTTTGGAAAAGGATGAGAACCAAACTAGATAAGTAGCTTTGGGTACTAAATCCAGGTGTCTAAAACCGAAGAAATACAAGTACAAGAAAGAGCAAGCACTCCTTCACTGCCAAAGAGCCATGCCTTTGATTCTTGGCAGGGGAGTGAGGGTGGGCCAGAGAAAGGGAAGGCTGAGGGTGGGACCAGCCAACAAGAACCGTGCGAGAGGAATGGAGAGGGAAAAGTGGGTATAGGGCCAGAGGAAAGGAGGTGGGGGCACAGGCGTGCAAAGCTGACTCACCGACATGTAGGAGCGCGTTCCAACAAAGGAGTTGGCCATGGAATCTATGAGCTGGCCGCTCACACCGAAGTCGCACAGCTTGATCTCCCCGCGGGAATTGACCAGGATGTTGGAGGGCTTGACATCTACGTGGGAGAGGCGACAAAAACAACAAGACGAATTTTACATTTACTAAGACACTTGTGTGCACACACCAAAGTCCTTCAATAAATAATCTGAAATCTACATATTTGATAAAACAAGTACCAACACATTGTTGAGGTAATACACAGTTCAAACATTTTATAGGCAATGAAAAACCATCCATCATCAAAATATTTATATATATTTTTTTACCTGATAACTTAAAATAGTTCAACAATTTGGATGAATATGTGGGTATTTTGGGGTATTACATTTAGTTAAAAGAGTGAGTTGTTACAATTTGAAGGGGACAGAAATGTTTGTCAAACTTAAAGTTAGAACCAGTTTGAAGGAATGGAGTTTTTCAGTCCAGGGAATTAAATTACGTTAAAAATGGTAGATCAATGGGCCTCATGCAAGAACTGTTCATACGCACAGATTTGTTCTTAAGTTGTGCGTACGAGTGATTTAGGAGAATTTGTGACATTCACCAATGTTTTCGTATTCTAAGATTTTTTTCAGATACGAATTCATGAGTGGTCCAGACCTGTCGTATATTTTACGAGCAGTCAGTCTGCTGTTATCCAGACGGGTTTCTTCACTAATAATTTTATATTTCATTAGTTTGAAGATATTTTGAGTTGAAAATAAATCACACTCCATAATTATGTTGACAATAAGCTATTCTGCTTAGAGTTATAATTTTAAATGTAATAATTTAGACTAACAATATTAATTGTCCATCCGTCCGTTTTCTGCCGCTTATCCGGGATCGGGTCGCRGGGGGCAGCAGAGAGACCTCGCTCTCCCCAGCGAAGCCCTCCATGTCCTGGGGGACTCCGAGACGTTCCCAGGCCAGAGGGGATACATAATCCCTCCAGCGAGTCCTGGATTTTCTCCAAAGTGCCAGATATATTTTGAAAACAGTTTAAAATGCTTATTTCGGAACCGCAACTGAGACCACTTGAGACCACGCTGGGGGGGGCTGGCATACGGTGCGCAGCGCCGTGGCTTCTGAATAAATGAAAATGATTTAACACAGTTGTTTATACTTTTAGCAGCTCTTTTTATTCCACAGCTGACCTGCTRAAAATGACAGATTTTMTTTTCTGGATCTCTGACARACGGACTTCAATCTCTGAACTCGTAAAGTTYTTCTTTTTARTTWTCRCTGTCATTTTCATGAATGRACACTTCCTKRTATCTGAGGCAGGAAACATAGCCTTATATGGTGTTTTTGGGTGGTAATTATGCTAATCTCCTCTCGCGTGCACGAGCAGCTGGATACAAACAGGTGGAATTTACGCAGCTCATTTACACACTTTTCCTGAAGATAGAAGAGTTTGTTGAATCTGACGTGGCATGTTCATATGAACCCTTTGTACGAACAAAAGTAAGAGAAATTAGGATAAGAATACGAACATGTTCCTGCATGAGGCCCAATGTGTGTATTTAAGAAAATGAAGGTAAATCTGTTGAGTATAAGGCACGAATTGTTACTCAAGAAGGAATTAAACCTTTGTTTTTCTTTCAATTGTTTTTGTACATTGTAAATTGAAGTTTTTTTTAATTGAATTTATTTGAGAAAAAGGGGCAGAAATCACAAGATTTTTTMCTTCTTCTGCTGCCTTTCATTTAATTTGATGTGTTTTTTTGTATGTTGAATTAATTTTATTTTGTTTGTTTTAAAATTGTCAAGGTAACAGCAGGTACATTGTTACTTGATTTTGATTTTGTTACTTAACTTTTTGTTGAGATAAGGTCTACATGGCACCCATGTGATCCTATGCAAGACCTCCCCTTCTTCTTGCACCTGAAGCTTCTAAATGTTTGAGCTTGTTGCTGCAGATCGAACTGGGGATGAACCATATCTCCCCCCAATAATATTGCATCTCCCAACATCTGAACTTGTGCATCTCGTGCTTTTGGAAGACTAAGTGCTCGTTTTGTGGCGGGTATGAGACATGCGAGGAATGACTGAGGAAAGAGGTGGTGCAAAAGAGTGGGAGAGGGAAAGACAGAGGGAGGGTCAGCAGGGCTCAGCTGCTCTATAATCACATCTGAGAAGCTGTAATTACCCCYTGAGCTCACAGACAACTTTTATCCCAGAGTACCATCGACCCTGAGGCGAAGTGAAACTTCAGAATGCCAACCTGACCACTCCCTTCACCAGTACAACAGCACAACCGCAGCCTCACACTGATGCGATGTTGAAAAACTCGCTCGCTTTTAGACTTGTGATCTGGTGCTCCAAACTGTCTACTGGAAACCCGTGGCACTCCAAAATAATGCTTTGACAGGGTRAACAAAAATTCAAGTTAAATTTAATACCTTTTTTTTAATACCATCACATTTCTTTAAACACCAACACATTCTAGCTGCAGCAGCAACCTCTTGAACTTCACTTGTGGGTAACTGATAATAAAGTAATAGATTACTGTCATTTTCTTACTTAACTTTTGKAGTTAGTGTGGTATTATTACATTTACTGGATACATACTTCTTTGCCTCAATAAAAACACTGACCTATGTACAATTATTTGTTATTTAACCATAAACCAAGACAAAAAGTGATTTCATAGAAGTACAGGAAGAGCGAATTTTTAGGATAGACTGGGGAAAATAAACATTTAGTTGGGTAGCTGTTCAAAAAATTAACACCGTCAGACGAAAGTTTTTACTTTTTAGTACTTTTAAATGGCCTCAAATGTTTGCTAATTTCATTTACCGGTAATACCTTTTACAACCCAGCAGACACCCTATTTGTATTGTAGTGAAGGCAATAAAGCTCGAACATATTAATCCAGTGTATGTGTGAAATCTGAATTTAAAAAAGCWGAAACAAGGACAAGTCAAGATAACTTCTGGGCTGCACAATATASCTAAAATATATCATCGCAGTAACAGCCGGTGCAAAATGTATATCATAAAAACTGCATAAAATGCAACAAATGCTTGGCCCAAGTGTTGCATTAATGCATTTTGTCAATCAGACGGGAGCTTTAAGTAGTTCTCCCATCAAATGGAGCTCTTCATGTATTTGGCCTATTGGATGGATCTCTTCATAATAAAAAAAAATCATGCTCGAATGAAAATTATGATTTAGTTTTTTTTCCTCAATCAACACWATAGTTAAATATTTGTTCATTTATCACAAGTCATATTGTCATTGCAATATTAAGCATGGTTATCATACATCACAGGTTTTCCTAATATCATGCAGCCCTAATATAATCTTTGTAAGATGTTAGAATATATATTTGTTAGTCTGGGTGAACCATCTAGTTATCAAAGTCATGAGTGAACAAAGCATTACTCAGAGTCATAACATAAATAGTAGCCTCTGTTGTCATCACACCTTTAAATCTGTCTCCAATTACCAATCCAAGGAACTGATTGGGACACAGTTTTGTTGCAGGCTTAAAACATTTCCAGATAGAAGGATTTTCTTGCAATCGAGAGCTTACACAGTTCATCCAAAACAAACTGCTTTGCAAATGTGTGGAAACTAAACTGCATCTGGATGTCTCTCAAACATCAACACAATTTGGCCATTTGTGCTGATGCTTTTGTGGACTGTCTGGATATATAGCATGTTTTTTATTTATTTTTTTTAATGTCACTGATCGTAAAGTCAGCTTTCAATACAGAAATTATAGAAATCTTACTGCACCACAAATACAAAAAACAGCAGTCGTGTTAATTTAAGCGCGTATCCTGGTTGTCATCACAACCAATTAATTTTGTCAGCACCTAAGCAGTTTCTGTAATGAGAATATATTARGTTGCAGTGACTGAACAAGATTTTCTGAGTAAAACCAAAGAGTTTGGTTACCTCTGTGCATGATTTGGTGCTTTTCCCGCAGATAAGCTAATCCTCTCAAAACCTGTAAATGAGGGGAAAAAATCATAAAAAACACACATTACACAAAGTCACACAAGAGTCTTAACATATATGAGGCTTTTCATTGGAAAGCAGTACGGTAATTGCCTATGTTAAAAAACTATTTTTAGTAATATGTAGACTTGATGCAAGAGTAAAGTCAGTAAGCTAAGTCCTACTGCTTGCTGCTGATGCATGACTGGACTGCTCTTTCAATTAGTCAGCACCACAAAGACACACACCCAGAATGTGCAATGTGTTTGCAACAATGTGAGGAGCTAATGTTCGGTAAATCGCCACAGGAATTTATTCGCACTGCCAAACCCCAAAGTTAACCATGACGACAATTAAAAAAAAAAAACACCCAACTAGTCAAACTAGTTAAAGAATTTATGACAAATTAAAGACGTTGACACACTTACACAGAAACATGGAAGATAAAAGTCAACTTACGGCTATGCTAACTTTCCCAAGTATTTCTTCTGGGATTCGTCTGGCTTCCTTGAGAACCTGGTCCAAAGACCCACCATCCTGTAGAGACAAGAAAGTGACTAATTCAAACTGATACAACAAATAAAACTAGGATTTTTCCAGATAGCTTAACAGTTTAACTGCATATGATTTCTACTACAAGTGGTTCTTAACCTGGGTTCGATCGAACCCTAGGGGTTCGATGAGCCGGTCTCAGGGGTTCGGTGAAGCCTCTGCTGCAGAGGTAAAGACACACTTGTGTAAAGTCGTGATGACACGCCCCACTTGGCCATCACTTGCTGTCAGAGAGATTTCTTGGCCAATCAGTGCTGGCCTCAAAAAGGTATTTTGTGGATTCAAAATGACAAAAACAAATTAACTTTAAAATAATAAAAAAGAGTTATTAAAAAATGTTAAATTCTTCAAAAAAAATCCTAATTTATTTTTTATTAGTAAAATAGTAAAAAAAATATTTTTTGGGTGCTGAAATTTTTTATGGGACCAAAATATTTTTTTGGGTCCAGGATAAAGTCATACTGTAATTTGTTGTGAGTAGGCCTGTCGCGATAGTCAATAAATCAATTAATTGCACGATAACTTTTTTTGAGGTCGGTAAAAAAAAGACGGCGATAAGTTTCATTTTCCTGCTTGTTTGTTTACGTAGTCTCTCTCCCTCTCTGTGCTCCGCTACACAGGAGCTCAGCTGACCCCTCCCCTCCTGTTTTCTTAGTGTGGGAGGAGTCAACTCTCGCTTTAGCGTGATAGCTCGTTGCTAAATAAACGCTTCAAAGCAGAACGCGGCTGCTGAAGTGTTGGGAGCACTAGAACCTGGATTTCGCTGCGGAGGGAGAGAGAGACGGAGTGAGACAGAGAGAGAGAGAAAGAGAGAGAGAGAGAGAGAAAGAGACAGAGAGAGAGAGACAGACAGAGAGAGAGAGAGAGACAGACAGAGAGAGAGAGAGACAGAGAGAGAAGGAGGAGAAGGGTTGGGGGCTGAAACTCCCCCAGACCCGCGACAAACTCGTCAAGACTTTACCTGTAGCTCCCAAAAATAACAGGAAACTTAAACACACCATTTGTGTTTTAACAAAACACCCAAAAAACCAGTGGCTGTCCCAACAACTCATGAGGAAAACTCTGAACTGTCTGATTTCCTCCCCGCAGCGCTCTGACTGTCCCCTCCTCACACACACGTTTGTTCTTCTATCCTCATGGGGACTTTGCATTGACTTTCATTCATTTACCAGTATTTCCTATTACCATTTGACCCTAAACCTAGCCTACACTTTACATGGGATGTGAACTGGGCTTATGTCCCCATAAGAAACAGTGGGTCCTCACCAGGCTGTGTAATTTGCTTCATCTCTAAAGAGATGCTGATCTTTAATATTGTTTATTTACTGTCTTAGTAGTGTGTGGTGTTTAATTTACATTTTGTTGTTCTTTGTTTTATTTTTTTTTATTCAAGTGCATTTTTTGTTAGAGACTGAGAGTCCACTTTGTTAAACATTCTTTTAAAAATGAAAGTTTATTGATTTATTACACTTACACATTACGCTTTTATAATTATTAGTTGTAAAACGGTCACCAGGYAATATTATCGTTTATCGCAATAAATTTTGAGACAATTAATCGCCCAGCAAAATTTGTTATCGTGACAGGCCTAGTTGTGAGTTCATGCACTGTGTTGATTTTGTTCTTTGAGAAAGGTGATGTTCATGTACGGCTCATTTTATACACCAGTAAAAAAACAACAACATATACCTATGTCTTGAATTTGGAAAAAAAAATCATATTTTATTTATCACTAAAAAGGGTTCAGTGGATGCGCATACGAAACTGGTGGGTTCGGTACCTCAAAAAAGGTTAAGAACCACTGAATTAAGTATTACTTCTCAGATCAACACACATGCACTGCCTTCCATCAAACAGGCCGCAGTTGAGTCAAATCAGAACGAGTTCACAGGTGCTTATCTGTAACATTTAACACAAACACCCTGACTAGACTGAAAGTGATCAAATAGGCCCAAAACTAATTTAAGCAAGAAGCAAGTCTGAAACGAACAGGTCACATTAACACAGTAGCAGCTGATTACATAACATGAGTGGCTGTTCAGGGGAATAAAATAAATGGTTTAAGCAAATAAAAACTACAGTTCTTAAACTTTTATATACAATAATTAGATGCTAGCCTTATTTCTAATACAGCTATTGAGCCAAAAACAACTGAAAGCATCTGCAGCAGAAGCTTCTGTTATAGCATTTTGAACTCGTCATCCATTGTTTAATTTACCACAATGCTTTGTTTGCTAGCTTGATCTGAATTATCACCAAAAAAGGGACAAAATTGAGGACCGCATCATCTTAAACAGCGTCGATGACAGATGTTCAACTCAAAAAGATGTTTTTGTTTTCAAACTGATGATTTCACTAACTGTAGYAGATATAAAGCCTCACATTTATAGGACAAAAAGTCAAATAAGCTTAAATAAAATAGATGTTCAGCTGTTTCCAAATGTCTCTACTAAACATGAAGTTGGGAGAATGCGATTGAACAAAAAGTTCTATAGTAGTGACCAGAGTCTGAATCGTAATGAAGTCATTAATGATTCATGCCCACTGTCTGAAGGAAGCTTAAGAGTCTCACCATGTGCTCCATACAGATGCTGATCTCTCCATCGCTGTAAAAGGCTCCATAGAAGCCCACAATGTAGGGAGAGTTGCATTCATGCAGCACCTGCAGCTCTCTGATTATCTGGTTTCTGATGGCAGGCTTGATTTCCAGGTGGATTAACTTGGAAGAGGAAACAGTAAAGCAAACGAAGTTCAGATGAAGTCACATCCACAAACACAACAAAGGCTATGTCCACACTGCAGGTCTTAATGCTCATTTCCTATTTTTTTTTGAAAAAATCCGATCTTTTTGTGTGAACGTTCACATTACATTTTAAATGTGACCTGCATCAGACCCGTGTGAACGCTACACAGCACTGATGTGACATCATGCGCAGTAAAAGACGTGACGTCTCATCAGCCGGCTTGTTTGTTTACAGAGCTAGCATGGAT